GTTGAGGAATGTTTCAATGATAAACATGGTTTTTTGCAGGCAGAAGAGCAGTATGCGCATCCTGGAGTATGCCTGTTCACAGTGCTATTTAAGGTGGGCACTCATGGGGACCTGTTGTTGTTTCGGTTATGATATCGCTGCAATCGACAGTACATCACAGAGAAGCAGCCTTGTGACTTTTTTCCTGAAAGGTGCCTTTGTTTGCGGTGCAGTTTTCAGCTCTGGGGTTTTACATTATGTGCTCGATTTTTATTGAAAGCTTCGTGATCCAATTTGTGGTCACGGTATTCCTGATAGCATTGGATTTCTGGACCGTCAAGAACGTGAGTGGTCGAATTTTGGTGGGACTGCGGTGGTGGAATGAAGTGGATGAGCAAGGTCAAAGCGTGTGGCATTTTGAGTCTTTGGACCAGCAGGTTGGTTGCCATGCTTTCGTCGTGGTTTCTGTTTCTTGTATAAGTTTCCAATAAGTCGTGGTTGGTTTTGTGGAACATGAAGGCTTACTACTTGGCACTTGCCGAACCCTGTCTTGTTGGTGGATGATTGGGTTATGCTGCGTTGAAATGACGCGAGCATATTGTGTTTCCCATGCTCGTAAGACCAGGTGCCAGCGTGACTACCTAGTGCTGGCTCTAAGTTATTGGATGACTGTTTTCGTTTATGTTAAAGTGCAATGTGCCGGAAGAGATTGCGGCCGTTGACTTAGGATTGATTATTAATGTTTTCTGCAGACCTTGGAGACGTTGAACAAGAAAGATGCTTGGCTATTCTGGTGGACGCTGTATCTCACTGTAAGATCCTTAAATCATGGCATCTTGACGCACAGGATCCTTGATGTGTTTATGCTTAGGATAAGAGCTCTGTTGGACGGTCCCCATTCAAGTGTAATTTGCGCAGACCTGCAGCGATGGCAAATCTGCTTACGTTCCTGAGTGTGCCTCTGTCGTTTCGAGTCATCCTGATTGAACATGGATGCTTGCGTTGTGTTTCAGCCTGTGGCGTGGGTGGCGCTTGGGATAGTTGCTCTTATTAAGTTCAACTTTGACTATCTGCTCGTAGTTGGGGTTGCTATAATCCTGAATGCAGCCAACATTGTGGGTTTCACCAAGTGTCGGAAAGGTACTTTACATTCCAAATCTCCTCTGTTATTCGATGCTGTTCAAGTAGGTCTCTTCACACTTCTAATGACAGTTTTTGAAGTTTTGCGATGCGTGGCCAGAAAGCCCTGGTTCTTGGTTCTCATTTTCATTGGGTTGAAGGATCATGTGTATGGTTCATCATATGTATGTATGTTCGGCAAAGTCTTTGCACAGTTCGTGATACATTTCTTTTGACGTAAGGTACATTTCCTGAGCAGATGCGAAAAAACAGATCCAGCAGTTTGCTACGTCAACTTTGACCTCCCGGATGGGCAACACGATCCAATCAGCTTTCATGTCAAGTGTCTAGTTGTGGGTGATGATGCACCGAGTTTCGGCATTCACGTTGCAGAAAGAGAATGTAGGACAATTCGTTACTTTGGTAAAATTGATTTCTTCTTTACTATGAGGGCCTGCATTGAACCCTGTGGACCTGGGTCAATTGGCACAACGTTTCATGTGACGGATGTGAAGTGTGACAGGAGCACGAGAGTGGTGTATTAGGTAACATTTATATGTCTGTACCAAAGACGTGAGGTGTACAATGGTATTATTAGCTGTTCTGGCAGGGTTTTTGTACAGCAAATTTGCTGTAGCATTTTCTTTTTGTATTACAAAGATAGATGGATTACCAGCAGAAATCCTAGGCGTGGATTGGCACAGATTCAAGCCATCGCCTAGAATGTGAGGTTCACAGCTAGGAGTGAACAGTTGGACGCTTTTACTTTCCTCAGTTTGCATTCTTGTTTAGTGTTTGTACGTTATTGCAATGAGTCGTATATTATGATAGAGTTGGGGAGTTGGTAACGTTCGACTGAATGGGTTCAACAGCTTTTGAACTAGGTCATTCCTTCTCCTCTAATGATGAGATGGAGAGCTGAGCACTTAATCTCATTAACCAGCTCTTCGGACAACAACGAATTCGTTTGTTTTATTTTTTCGCTGAGCATCAAAGAAGGACCATGAGACAGGTACAGGATAGCATAGGGAAAATCTACTCGACAATGCAAATGAGCAATTATCATTTGGGTAAGAAAACTGTTGCAACATGCAATTGTTGCACACTCAACACCCTTTCACCACTTGCCCCATATGAGCGAAGAATCGAAACACACAGATGCTTTGCAGTATATGGGCGTGCCAGTTGAATCCTTTCAATCCTAGATCATGCCTCCCCAGACAACTATGGATTCCTAGAAGAGGATAAATCTGCCCACTGAGAATCTAGTATAATCGTCCGTCGGTCATGTCTACGTATACTCTGGCGCGCTCTGGCTAATTATTGAACGGCCTTTCTAACACTAAACTTTGTTGCCAAGCTTGCGATTTAGAAGTCAAAAGGCCTGCGCCGTCTGAACCTCGGCAGTCAAGTTTAGAACACTGGCTTGATATCTTCGTCGCATCCTTCTTTAGCGCAGTTTGGTTGTGTGCTATGTTTTTGATTCGACTTCAGAGGGCTTCTAGTGTACCCAGTCCACTAGATCCGGTACAAGTATTGAAATATGAACCATCCTGCTCAACTTTGGGAGTAAGGTCCATCCAGCATGAGAAGTTTGTGGAGACTACACGGTGCACATGTTTCAGGAATGTTGCAGCCATTTCATGAACATCAAGCTGGAATCTGTTGGATTCAGGCCCAATTGAACGATTGTGTTCCATTGTTGACGATATTGTTCTTCACATGCTGTTTTGTGTTGTTGTGCAAGTGTGACAAAAACCGTTCTTGGTTTGGAGAAATTTAAAGATTGAAGTATTTTAAGTTTTGCACCTTGTCATCAGTCCCATACAATTGTTGCGTTTCTGATAATGATGCACTCTGCTAATATAGATTTCGACCTCCTGTAGATGCAGAATTCATCTGCATTGCTTCCACGATCAGGCACAGAACGTGGCAAACATTGGCAGTTTACCTGGTTTTCTAGATAAAAGTTAAACCATTCTAAAAATTAAAAAATGAAAGAAAGTTTCAAATCAAAATAAGTCTTTGAACTTGATCTGCATCAACTGTAGCCTGAGTATAATTTGAACTATATAACTTTTATACTCCAAAACTATATATATATATATATATATATATATATATATTGCAATGTGAGCAAAGTTATATAGTTCAAATTACTTGATTCATTTTAATAGTAGTTAGAAGATCATAATTTTAAAAGGTAAGTTTATTTTCAATTTTTTAAATTGTTGTATTTTTAATTAGTTTTATTATTATTAATAAATGAATATAATCAAATATTAAATAATTTAGTTTATTGTTTCTATGTAAATATTACTGCATTTCAAATTAATATTTTTGTTGTCACGATGTAAACTAGTCATTTTCTATTGCCATGATACAAACAAGCATATGCTTTGAATTTTTTATTAAATTTCCACAACATAAATGATTTTCTAATTCATAATATTGATCATCTTTATTTTCAATGGCATTGTTTGATCTTTTATATAGATTTTGGTCATTGTATTCAACTTCATCAAAAGTTGCAACATCAAAATAAAAAATGCAATATCTTTAGATTTCTTTGGACATTGATATAAAAACATATCTTGTGATATATCACAACAATATTTCAAATCCAAAAGTATTAATCTTTTATCTTTTATCTTTTTTTTCCTTTTATCTTTTTTGATTGAAAGATGACTACTTCATATCATTTGTCTTTTCCACAATTTATTTTACCCATGATTTGAAATAATTACCCAAATATAAGTGGATAGTCTAAATTGTTGTTGCTATATGTCAACAATTGTTGATACAGTTTTGTGACATGATTAAGTGTTTTGTAAAGTTTGATACATTGAATCTTGTGCAACAATATATATATTCAATATATATATATATATATATTGAATCTTGTGCAAATATATATATATATATATATATATATATTATTTCAACAACGTGGGAGAGATTAAAAATAAATAAATAAAAAACGAAATCTTTTAAAAACCTGAAGAAACATCGTAAATTCAGAACTGAGTTCAGCAACTCAACAAACCAAAACTGGATCTGGTCATCTACTGCATTTTGTGAATGGTATTGTGAATTGATTTTGTTACTCTATTTGATGAAGTTAAACTGAAACTTTCCCAACTAAAATAAAATTATTATTATTATTATTATTGATTTTCTCAAGGAATCCTGAACAAGATTCCATAATACACCATAATCAGATTCTGTTTTGGGTGTTGCACATATGTACATAAAATAGAATAAAATCAAAAATAATTAATAATAATAGATACAGGGGTATGTTTTATTGACATATGAAGTGTTTTCAATAGTGGTGTAAAATAATAATCTTCTTGTAAAACATACTTTGAATTGTTGCTTAAAAACGGTTGCAGTCATCAACCTTAATCAAAATAAATGTTTTTAGAAAAGAAAAAAAAAATAGTATGTGGCCGAAAAAAGATTCTGAGTCTTCAAATGAATTGTTAAAATATTCAAAAAAAATATTTTAAAAGAAACTATGAAAAGTTTCAAAAATAAAATTGTATTCTTTTGAGTTCCATGTACAATACATTTTAGTTCTGAAAACCTAAGAATGACAAATAATATGAGATGTTAGTTTGTGAATATTCTCTATGGCATTAAATATATTGAATTTTAGAAGATTTTTCTCTAATATTGATAAATCATAAGATCTAATAGCAAATATGTATGTACATGTGTATGTACGTAGATATACATACATGCATACATACATGCTCAATAGTTTTTATTCCAAACCACTTGATTGCAAATAATTTGTTATTTATACAAGTATTTATTCCTGAATTCGAAGCCAACTTGAAATTGGACTTCAAAATATTCGTAGTACTCACTATGAGAAAATAAAAAATTTAAAAAATAAACTGAAAATGAAAATGAAAAATAAAATAAAAATACAATGTTTTTACTTCCTAAGCTTTACACCATGTAAAAATAAAATAAAAATACAATGTTGTTACTTCCATGTCAACCTCCATAAAATTAGTACATAATCGGCAACACTTTAAAAAAACTATTACTTCTTTTAGTTTTGTCCCATGTTTCAACACATTGATTCATTAGAATATATATATATATATATATATATATCTATATACATATATTCCTTATTTTCACAAATGATTTAGTTTAAAAAATAAAACCTTTAAAAGTAAAAATTCCAATGAAAGCCTTGTTCACAGTCCTTCGTAAATATTAAAAAAAAATGGGTATGTAATTTAATAGAAATATAATAAAAATATTCAGTTTTGGATAGAAAATAATTTAACTGAATACAGTCCCTTTAGGGACAGTGAGGTGGCTTGGCTTGGGCGTCCCTGAGGCATTGGGGACGAGAAGCGAACCAATGTTCCCACAACAGGACATGCCAGAGAACGTCGTTCCCCGTGGTTCACCCATGACGACGAACGAAACATGCAACGAACTAGTGATGCGGACGAACAGACGAAGCGACGGACGGACGGGCGGACGGAAAAGGGGATTGTGGAGAGCGGGTGACCAGGCCCGACCCGTGATTGTGCTCGGGCCACCCGTTTTAGGCGGCGGAGGGGAGGGAGCACAAACCCTACTGCAGAGTCCGAAGAGCTCCCTTTCCGCTCCCCCAGTAACGAGTTGCGCTGCGTTGCGCTCCATTGAATTTTGCAACCGGAGCTCTTGAAACGCGGTCACCATGGTAATTCATTGCTTCTCATCGCTCTGGAAGGCGTTCTGATGTCTTGTTGATTTTTGTCTCAATTTTGCACTACTCGGTTTCTGATTTGGACTCTACTGTCGAAGTTAGGGTTTGGAGTGTTTGTGCTTGGAATGCAATTGGCAGTGGATTAGAGTGGTTGGTTAATGGTGCGAGATCATGTGGATGCGTTTAGTGTGGAGGATTTGAAGAACGATTGCTCTATTGGTTTTTTACTTTTGTTTATGGCGTGGACCAGGTGAATGTTCCTAAGACGAAGAAGTCCTTCTGCCCTGGAAAGGCATGCAAGAAGCATACCCTTCACAAGGTGACGCAGTACAAGAAGGGGAAGGACAGCTTGTACGCCCAAGGTATCCACTTCGTTTTGCTTGATTCTTTTTGACTTGTTGAATCTAGCTGTGTTTGTCCGAGTGCTTTTCCTCGGCATTTTAGGGGGCGTCTGTGATTTTGTGTCTTCTGTGGAGTTGGACATTAAAGTTTTTGCGAAATTTTTCTTGGGTTTGAAGACACTATGATGATGTGGATCTTGATGATCGTTGTAGTAACCTATTAGTAGGGCTGATCCTCTCATAGCGCCAGTCCTATTCGATTTGACTAGCATTTTCGTTTTTAGTGACTCACATTGATAGTAATGCTACTCCTTCATAACTGCGTTTGTATTGAACATCCTTTGTCTGCATTCCGGCAGGAAAGAGGCGTTATGATAGGAAGCAGTCGGGTTACGGAGGTCAGACCAAGCCCGTCTTTCACAAGAAGGTTAGCTAAACCCAGTCGTGTATTTCGAGGTTTTATGTCACTATTCTTTAGAGTCATCTGGCTTGTACGTGATTTGTTGAATCATGTTCATATGTCTCGTCAATCTCATATCTCATGTGTATATTATGGCGTTTCGAGCTATGCTCATGTGAACCGTATTATTGCAGGCTAAGACCACAAAGAAGATTGTGCTCAGGTTGCAGTGCCAGGCTTGCAAGCATGTGACACAGCACCCTATCAAGGTAATTCAATCTATTTTCTTGCTGGTAGTTGATTGGTTTGACAAATATTCATGTGGAATTTTGCAACGGAATTGTCATTGTAGGTGTAACCATTCTCTCCTGTCCGTATTTTCTGAAATCTTTATCATTTCGCCGATCAAATAATCACTAGGAACGTACCCCACTTCAAAGAGTCTAACACATGACTTGGTACTCTGCAGCGATGCAAGCACTTTGAGATTGGAGGAGACAAGAAGGGTAAGGGCACTCAGCTCTTCTAGGCAACTCGATTGGATTACCTCGCTTCTGAACTTTAGAGAGTATGAACTAGATTTCAGTGTGAACCATAACTGTTGTAACTCAAATATGAGTTTTGAATTTAAATTTTCTTTGTCCCTCTGAAATTCTTTGCCGCTTCTGAATCGAGATGATGGAATGGCTCATTAGTCCTTTGGCTCCAAACTCGGCTGTCCCTTTTGTGCTGGAAGTTGATGTAGTGGATCAGTGCTCTGAAGTCGGTCCAGTCACAATGGCGAGTAATGGCCTCTACGTTCTAGAGAGGCTGAGCCAATGAAAATGGCAAATTTTATCTGGGGCTTCGAAGTTGGCCAAGTTCCATGGAAATTAAATTATGCGTTGAGAACATCATTTAAACTTCACATTTTTAAGATAGTCAAAATGTCTGGCAGGGTTTCAAAAATTATGACTGTTATTTTCCCAAGTTTACTTTCTACCTTGTATCTATGTTATCAACTTTGTTAGTGTTTCGCAAACTTACAACAGTACTTCTTCCACATCGTCGAATTTCACAGCCCCACAACTCAGTGATTTCATGAGGCCAAATCAAAGCCTACTATGCATCCAAATCCGCAAACCATCCGCATTCTCCAGCACCTCCCTCCCAACCCTAACGTGCTCGAAAAGGGCCGCAGGCTTCTCCTGAACTGGATCGCACCATACCAACCTGTCGAGAACCCTGACTAGAGCGACGACCAGAGCGAGATAGGAAAGGGAATCCAGTGAACGTACGAGACGAGAACAGTCGAGAGGGAGAGGAGGATCCGCAATGAGAAGATGGGTGTAGATATGCCAGACGTGATGAGCAGTCATGAAACAAATACCTATGACGACAAACAGCATAGATCAAATGTAACTCAGAAATTGGCTCAATGGTAACAACCTGGGCTTCCCTCTTCCCTGCAACTTTGTGGATGCTGATCCGGCTCATTAGGTGAGTAGTATGTGAACTGTTGCTGCTGCTTTCCTTTCTTTCTCGTTCAAAGGATCCGCTGGAACATTTTGATCATGCTGATCGGGATTCAAGCCTGAGCTGCATGCACTAGCAGACGACGACGACGACGACGACGACGACGAGCGTTTTCTTTTCATGACATTTTCTTTACTTTGGAACATTCTTCTGGAATATAGGCAGGAACTTGTTGCGCTTGAATTCTGTGCTGAGACACAAAATCAAGTTGGATATCAACTGTAGGAAAGGAACATTGCAAATGTATAAATTCACCGTCGATTCCATTAGGGCGCGTAAATTTTCATCGTTGAAGGGGAGGAAGAACATTAGGTGTGAATGCAAATTAGTTCTCAAAGAAGTAGTCATGCAGTTACGTTTCTGGGTGTTAGTTTCCACCGTTCTTTCATTTGCCAGAGTAGGAGCACTCACCATATCTGTGTTGTACTTGATTTATTAATCCATGGTGTTTTCCTTACTAAAATTCCATCTCAAGTGCGAACCTCATCCTGCTTCTGCAGCTTAGACAAAAGGAGCGGAGTACCTCGCTCGCAGTCAAGTTAGCCTTGTGAGTTTGATTGCAACGCCCATGCGTTGTCCTGACAAAATATTCCGCAAGTAGAGAACAATTTTCCATTGGTTTCCTTCAGTCATGAAAGATGCGTTTGGCAATTTGTTTTACAATGTGATGAGTAGGCTGCAAGCTCTTTGTTATCGGCAGGGTAGATATTTTGTCTTCTTTTTTAATATTTTAGGGTATAAATATTTTTGATCAAACTATTCATCTCCAGAAGGGATAGGACTATGGTTTGTGGCTTTCATTAAATGGATAAAATTGATGCAGAGTGTGATGTAAGTCCGTTGATTCTGAGGAGCCGCCGCAGATTTCATGGTTATGATTGAAATAGGCCATGTGTTTTTCTTCATGTGCCGATCCTGAGGTTCAGAGTCCCTAGAGTCTTTCTCCAGCGACTTTGTGCTTGTGGCAGCGGATCCAAAGAAGTTATTGAACAATGACATTGTTTTTCTGCAGCATCATCCACAAGTTTTGCGAAGTCAAATGAGGTGGGAATGTCATGGCGGCCAGGAGGAGTCCAAGCAGGAGCAGATATATGTGGGAAGATCACTGATGGGGCCACCAACTCCTTTCACCCTCATGCCCATGCCCGGCGTTCCGATCACCCACACTCAGTACTTTGTCATCCCTCCAGTACCTCTTCACGCAATTTCCATCTAACTCTGGATCCGGAGCGAGTAACTTCGATAAGAACGGACATGAGTCCTCTAATCATGTTTATTAAAGATTCTTAAAGCTGTCGTGCTCGCCCCGCTCACAAATTGTGATTTGAGAGAACGAGAGCGTGAGTTGGATCTCTACTTTCTTTAGGTTGCGCTTGAAATCGAACTACGTTCTGGCTATCATCTCCCATTTCCGGAAAACATTGCTGTGAATGAGATCGAGTAAACTTATATCAGTTGTGCCTCGAACTCTCCCTGAATCACATCTTTACTCTTTTCATTTCATACCAACCTTGCGAAGTATCGATTTTTTTCAATCTCTCAGTGCTTATGTAGCTGTTTCCATGAGTAGGCAGCCTTACGTGACGGGTACGTCCGTGTTGGGACTCATATACGAAGGTGGAGTTCTCATTGCTGCTGACACTGCAGGTAAGCACGTACATTGTATCATGTAGAAATATAGAGACTTGTAGGGTGATTGTGCTACTGCAGTAGTCGTGCATCATGTGATTTATACTTGTGTGCATTACCGATATGGACCGTGCGCAGGTTCTTATGGGTCAACAACAAGGTTCAAAAGCGTGGAGCGCATGAAGGCTGTGAGCAACAACACTCTGCTTGGAGCCAGTGGTGAAATCAGTGACTTTCAAGCTATCACTCAGCTTCTTGACAGACTCATGTACATCATATTCGTCCATTACAATTTCTACACGCTTTCAAGGATGAACCTAAGTGCAGTATCACGACACTGTAGATTGAAGATCAACTGTCAGTCAATATCATCCTGAATTGCTTAAGTGCCATGGTGACCGCTCGCAGAGTAGCTGATGCAATGTGGGACGATGGAAATGATCTGGGCCCATTGGACATCCACAATTATCTCACACGCGTTATGTACAACCGCCGCAATAAGTTTGACCCTTTGTGGAACACCCTAATCCTCGGTGGCGTCAAAAACGGCGTTAAGCATCTGGGAAGCGTAAGTGAAATCAAATGCAAACCCCTGAGTACATATGATTGCTTCAGTACAATTCTTTATTCCGTGACAATGGAGGATACAACTTGATTAAATGCAACCATTTTCTACACATTCCCCACTACGTTTTTTTCACATCTGGATGCTAATTAGAGATGAAAAAACTCCAGGTGAGCATGATAGGAGTGCACTACGTGGATAATCACATTGCAACAGGATTTGGGATCCACCTGGCACAACCCATTTTCCGAGAGGAGTGGAAGGAGAACATGACCCTGGAGGAGGGGACGAGGCTTCTAGAGAAAGCCTTGCTGGTCTTGTTCTACCGTGACCGTTCTGCTATCAACAAAATCCAGGTATCTTCCAGCAGTGCCACAAAAACTTTCACAACAGCGTTGAACATAAATTTTAGAGTCCATGAAACTCATTCCTGTTTTTGCTGGAAAGGTTCATGTTTTGTCAGGTATTGATCTATTGTATATCAGGTGGCGAACGTAACGGAGGATGGTGTTCACATTTCGCAGCCGTATGCCTTAAAATCAGAATGGAACCTCGAGGCCTTCAAGAATCCAACAGCTTCTGCTGCTGGGTCATGGTGATTTGAGCTCAGGCATGCCTGGCAAGCTGAAGGTAGTTTTAGGTTGTAACCTAAAATTCAAATATCTGTGTCTGTTTTATTACCCACACAAACAAACCAACATGTCAGTGCACAATGGCTGTCCCACCAATAGCTCAAGCATATAATGAAATGTGAAGAGTTTTAGAAAACTCAGAAGCATTTGTAAACTCTGGATTTGCAAAGCAAGTTGCATACTGTCTACTGTTAAGTAACTGCATTTGAATAACTTCATATTAATGTAGTCAAACTGTAACATGAGTGTATGAATAAACTGTGAAGATGTAAAACTGTAACATGTAATTACATGGTTTAAGAAGTAATCCTATTATGCACATGTTTCAAAAACTCTACATTGAATTGTATCTTTATATTTTCTAAACTTATTATCTAATTCATTTTTTAGAAGAGACTTTTCCAACTTTTGAAATTTGCTAGTTGAATTGGCATCTTTATATATTGGTTAATAGAATTTGAGTAATTAATATTTGTTGCACCAAAATATAGAATAATGTTTGTGATGAACTAAAATAAGAAGGAATGGCATAGTTTTTGTTGTGATGTTTTTAATAAAATAAACTAGAAGAGTTTAAACAATAAATTTTTAATACATAACAACAATAACAGTATGTATAGCAAAAAAGTTGTAATTTTTATAGTTTTAATATAAGTATAGTTATCAATGAATAAATTATAAATTAAAAAAATGATAGTCTACCATGATTTTTATACTTTATTTAAAAAGTTTGTATAAAATTTACTTTTGTTTCTTTTAGTCAAAAAATATTTAAAAAATGTGACTATAAACCAAAATTTTAGACCATATTAGTTCTATATAATTTTGGTAAAATTTGGTGCCTTTTTTGTGTCAGAAAATAATACAGTTGCTTGTTGGCCCCTTGAAAGTTAACTAATTAATCAATCAAAACAGTCAATTTATATTAAATTTAAGAATGATTACATTGCTTCTCTCATAAAAATCCATGTATTCAGATATTATGATAAGAATATTCATACAAAATCATTATAACTGTTTATTGTAATATTGATTACAAATGTTTATTTTGGCAAACATCATAATTTTTTGCATATCACTTGCATAAATAGAAAACTAACATCTTTCTTAGGAATATCCTTATGTATGAATATTTAGTTTTACTTAAAATATATTGGTTCACGAAAATATCAATTAAACTCACCTAAACACTTAAAAAGAAATTTGATTTTCATAACATGTAAAAACATTTTGAACTGGAAAATATTCTGAAATTCAATAATTTTGTCTTTGTAGAGTTTCCAATAAACATGCAATATATAATGGTATAGTATTTGCTTTAGATATAATATTTTTCAAAAAATAAATTCAAAACCTTCACAAATTTTACTTGCAATTAAAATATCTAAATAGTTTTCAACTTCACCTTAAATCAAACGATACATGGATTATCAATACTTTTATTCATTTCAATTAAGCATTGAGATTTTAATGAAGATAGTTATCAAATCAAACTTTGACAGGCCAACTTCAATATCAAATACATGCTAATCAAGTTAATGTAAGGAAAAAACCTAGTCATTTTACCTGAAGAGATTGTATGAGCATAGTGTACCGTTCCTAGGATAAATTCTTTGAAAAATAATCAAACAAATAGACATAACTTTAGTAGAAACTTCACACAAAAACTGGTTGTACGTCTCAAAATTAAAAGCGAAAACTATTCAAAGAAAAGTTATATGCTCTGACTTATTCATTTTTTGTGACAATATTCTTTATATGTTTCGTTTCTACTGTGAGAAATTCAATTTTAATATGACTTTTATCTTCACAAACTTTAAAAAAAGAAAAAAGTTGTAGTCATTTGTATAAGACCTCTGAAGGCATATAAGCCTTCTACTTAAGACCCCTCCAGCACAAAGCACTGCCACAAAAGGAAGGTTCAACCAGCCAAACGAAAGACTCATGAACCCACAATCACTAGGAAAAAACTATCACACCCTGCAGAAGCAGGAGACGTTCTTATACAATCAAAGAAGTTCAGATACTGATCAGTGTAAAGATTAATAGAACTCAATACAACTTCCATAGACCTTGAAAATCCTGCGTTTTAAAGTAGCGTAGGACCCCCTTAAAGCCTCGTTAAGAAATGCAGTATGTGGTATCCCACCCCAATAAAAATCCAATAACAATAATAATGGTAATGAGGAGGAGATGAAGAGGAATACAAAAGAAAGGAGAACAGGAAAAACGGAAATTGAGCTGGAACGACTTGACGCGTGTGAATACCTGCACCAGTGCAGAGCATGAAATGGAGACCTGGATTGTGTGCGTTTCATGCCGAACTGCTGCTTTGCCTGCCGGATCTACGAGAAATCCTTACAAGAAGTTGCTGAATGTTTGTCTCTATGACAACATATCAAATAGTAATGGTTTCTAGAATATAGCACTTGTAAACACGCTTGCATCGTGGCATTCGAAAGTGAACGAATGCCACATTTCTCATTACTTTTCAAACCATCCACCTTTTGAAAGTTGAGGTCTTGAAAACCATTGTACACAACAGGACAGCGAGGTGTCCCTCTGCGCAAAGAATATAGAGATACAAGACTCACTTAAGGCCAATAAACTTAATCAACAGCATCCCAGTCATTAGTTTAATGAGGAACGGAGGCTGGTGGAGGTGCATTAAGACTGCCTACGCCATGGTCAATTGTTTCCGAACTGATTGTAGCCATAACATTGGGATTTGTGGCAGGAGGATTAGGCTCCATTCTCAAACCTCGTAATCCATCAATTGTTTCCACCAAATTCTGAATCCTCTTCACCTGATAATCAAACCAAGTTTGTGAATTTGGAGACGATTTGCCCCGCAAAAAGCAATAGAAAAGTAGCGTCATCCAAGAAGTACTGCAATCTGATAAGCCTCACAAGTGTGTGCTTGGATGTGGACCTTGACAAACTTCCAAAAAGGGATCTCCTAACTACTACGTATATCGAAATGATCAGGTTATAAGTATGAACCACATGATAATCAACATAAAATATGAAGAAATAATGAGGTGAATATTGAGTAGGCATAGGAGATGGTTGGATAAGCACGTGAAAAGAATGAACATGATTGGTTTATGTGAGTCCTGAAGATAAACAACTAGGATAAAGCATACCTCTGCCCTCCTCATTGCTTTGGCATCTCCATCTGCCTCAACACCATCCAGCTTTAGCAACTGCCTCATCAACATTTCACTGACACCATGCATCTCTTGGTCTGCTGGTTTATTTCCACTCCTCGTTGCTAACTGAAAAGTTTCTACCTGAAAAGACGGTCATTTTCAGTATGCCTCATGTGACAAGTAAAGTCAGAAGCATGCAATTCAAAACAAATCCAAGAACACAAGAGATGTGGAAGGCCCGATTTCAGGCACAACACAACTAAATGTAACAAACTAAGCAACAGAAAGACATGCTTTCCACAGACACAATGTAAACCTAAAGAGTGCTGACCTATCTAAACACAAAGATCAGTAAATCGGCGTGAGCGGATTGAAGTACATATAAATGATTAATCGAACTGGAGAACACTCACAATTGCAATCAAGCTAAAAATCAATTCAAACACACACCTGTGAGGCATACTTGTCGACCTCTCCTCGGATGCTACTGATGGCCTGGCAAGTCTGTGCAATGCGCTCCAATCTGCGCTGCTCTTGAATTTTTTTCTCCCGAGCTGCGGGATCCTCCACAAGGATAAGCTTTGCCTTATCCTTGACCCCTGCTAGGTGAAGGGGGTCGCTATCCTCCTTCTCTTTGCCTCTAAATAGGAGCCGCATTTCAAAGGGCTGCAAACCCGTGTCTTCAACCAGCAAATTCTTTACATCCCCTTCACACGATTATCGATTGGGATGATCAACTAACAGCAGCGACCTTGATCAAAGAAAAATCAACATGAACAATATGCTCGGTATTGTTCTTAATATTTGTATTTTGTGTTGCTACTTAGTAGATTCGAATGATTCAGTAGAAATTCGTAGTGAAAGAACTTGGTAAGAGTCTAGGACATCACGGAAACCCTAATTGCAAAGTTCTATTATGTTTCACATGAAGGTTATGTTGGTATTTCTTTTGAAAGAAATGAAGACAAATAATATTTGCACACTAAAACAGCTCATTTTCATCTACAGTGACCGATGCATTCAATGTATCCAATTTCAAAAAATGTGGTGAGTTCAGGAAATCCATTAAGAGGGACAGTGACAGTAGATGGAGATTAGCAGTTTAACCTACGGCTTATGCAGGACAATGACCTGAAGGACCAACTTTTCCTGATTCAGTCATAATATTTAACCGTAGAGCAAAAATCAGGAGTATGATGTACCGAATGTAGCGTGAGCAGGCACACTAACGTCGTGGCCAAAAAGACCATGCGACACCTTGATTTTGATAAGAGGTGCCGTTGCCACTGCTGCGTCAGGATCCCTTTTCTGAACCATCTCCTTGTCTGTAGGCTCGGCGGATTCTTCCGTACTTCCGTTCATAACACCCTTTGAGTTTAGCTGACTCACTCACGCGAAACTTCTCGATCACTAAATACACGCACATCAACCTCTTTAGTTTCTGAATGATAAGCAACCAGGAAATGGAACCGATTCAATGCAACCTCTTCGACGGATCACGCATCGCGCACCAACAAATGGCAAACTAGATCACTAGAAACTGATCTCCTCTGTCCAAGTACCAGACTCATTCACTTAATTCAACCACACTTTGCTAAAGCAGATCCCTGGGAAAGGAACTAATCACGTCACCTTGAACAAGGAAATCCAAGACTCAACGACACACTCAGATAAATTCACACACGTATCCATATTCCGAAACAACTCCATTCAAACCTCACGGATCCCGCGAGCTACCTCGACAATTGACTCCTTCCCCGAGTCTCTTATAAGACTGACTAAAGCAAGTACCAAGCGCAATCAAACTGCAGTAATCCCATGCACAAGACAAACCTGCAGAGAAAAACAAACCGATTCAGGGAATTGCGTCGGCGCTGTGTGGAGATTCTGCCTCTCCCTCCCTCGACCAACCTAGCTCTGACCACGCCTATCTCCCGCAATATGAAGCCAAATTCACTCGTTTCTGGCTCCAGAAAAAACACTGTGAGAGAAAAAACCAGCACAGAATCCAGGCGCCTCACTCCGCCTCCAGAAGTTGCAGCTCCAACGCCGCAAGTGGCCGATCTGCGGCAAATCGTCTTCCTCCTCGTCGTCGTTGCTTGTGAGGACCGAACCAGCCTCGCCGCTAAAACCTCCTAATGCTTGAGTCGTTGAATCTACCAATTGTAAAATCTACTAATAAGGTAGTTTGGTTACGCAGATTTTGAGTCTGGAGGTGGGACCAGAACGCTGGACGTTATGGAACGTAATGTTTCAGTAGACGGGGCCCGTCGCCAACGTGGCTGCGTGGCGGTTTGTAATGTGTCGTTGCCGTGGAATGGGCTATTGTTAGAGAGAGTGGGCCCCTTTTGTATTGTTTTTGTATTTATAGAGACTATCCTCCAAATAATATCTATGTATTAAGGAAGCATAGTTTTGACAAAGACATAAAGAAGCCTTCTCATTGGCCAAAATCAAAGAAATTGTTAATTAACAAAAAAACCTTGCATATCTTGCAACAAAACCTGTACTTTATTCTCTTCATAACAAATCATTTTACAACTTTTATGTGCCCAACAACACGGGTTTCTGATCGTGAAACATAAAATTACTCACCAAAACTAAGCAAAACCTTTCTATATATACATATACATATATTTATGTGTGTATGTGTGTAAAGTGTACAGATATAAATGGTATATTTTAAAATGTTGCATCTTAATTGGTGTAAAATACTATTCTTATTGAGGAATTGACTTGTGATTCTATTATTTCTTGTTTTACAAAAAATAGTAGAATTGTTTTGAACTTGTATTTCAGAAAATAGTTGATAAAGTTGATTATATTAAAATAAATAGAAGCAATAAAATCTTCTCCTTTAAAAGAGTCAATGTAGATTAATTAGAAATAAATAAGTAAATATTTTTCAATGACTGAATAAATAAGATTGTAATATTTATGCTGTACATATACAAAAGTTTATGGTTTTACATGAAATATCAAAAATTTAAATCAATAACTAATGTAAATTACATTGGAGCAGATAAATTAATGTATTAACTAGTCCAAAATGTGTGTGTTAAAATAATTAATGCATAAACGAAAATTCACTGAAATTTATGATTTAATAGTTTAACAGCAACTAATACTTCTACTTACAAGGTGGAAATTTTTTTTAAAATAAAATAAAATAATTAAAAATTTAATATTTTTATACAAAAAATTATATACAGCAAACATATTATTTTCAAAAAAATTCATACAAAAAATTCAATAAGATTATTTTTTTTCAAAATAATTATTTATAAGAATTTGACCTTGTTATAACACATACTTTTATGTATTTTTTAAATACATTCTTAAAAAATAAACTAGATTTTTTTAAAAAAATCTATAGTAAAAAAATATTGTCTCTATAAAAAAATAAAACGTATAATATTCTTAACTAAAATTTTGTAGAAAATAAGTAAATAAAAATAATTTAAATAAATTACACATTTTTTTGTAAAATATTTAATTTTTTTATTAAATGTAAATTTGATCTCCTAATGATTTTTGATGTATTTTATAGTTAACAAAACTTCTCAAAGTTTGGAGATTTAGAAAGCAATTGTAAAAGCCTTTCACAACTTAGACACTTATCTTGCTATTCTTGTGGTTTTTAAACAACTTTCAAATATATTTTTCTATTATATGGTAAAATAAGAATAAAATTAAAGTTATTTCTAATATTATCAAAGCCTCTCTTATATTCTAGACTTAATTCAAAACTATGTAATCTCTCTATATTTATAAATAGCCATTATAATTGTTTACTATTTCATAAACACATATACCTTCATAATTTGTTTTAAACTATGCATATATTAATTTTTCTTTGATAGGTATGTATTAAGACACATCCTTGACATTACTTACTATTAATCATAGGCAGAAAAAAATAATAAAATTTAAATCTATAAATTCATAAATTTTGTATTATTATATTACATACAATAAAAATCTCTAATATATATTTTTATACAAAGCATTATTTAATTTTTCAACAAATGTTATAAAATAATCATATCTTTCAATTATTTTTAAAAGATATGATTATTTCATGCGTTTTAGTCGTGAACATAAACTTGGTTGTTAAGCATGCAAACATGAAAAATGGGTACAACAGATTAGGTTGGAGTTGAAAAAGGTTTTGATAAGACTGGATAGAGCTTTTGACAGATACCAGTTTCAAGAGCAGTTGTTTCTTTCTTCGTGGTGTGTGAGCAGGAGCAGCGAGGAGTCGGTGAAAAGATTCATCAAAGAGTGTGCACCAACTGTTGATCAGGTAAGACAAATTCCATTCTTTTCTTCCAGTGATCCCATTGTACACGCATCATCAGAGCACGTGCAGATACCATGGATTTTAACACTTGTTTAAATAAAAAAAGATAGCAGTTACACACTGACTTCACGAGATATTGCACATGACCCATTGAAGCCTTGCCTTCTTATCCACTGAGTTTAATTTGTAGGTCTGCTATCCTGGAAGACCCAGATTTTATACGTAAATCACGTGCTGATTGAAAAGAACTTTAAGAAAATGAAGCTGCTCCCTAATAATACGAATATACTGAGAAAGTTTCACTGACTGTAAGTTGATAAGGGTAGTATGCAAGATAATTACAATGAGTATGCATTAGCACTCGAGATTCTAAGAGCCCAATCCCAACTTATGATACGGTTTAGGACGCATGTAGTCGCTGCAACACAAATAGTGAGGCAGACGACAAAAAAATGGATATGGAGTAACACAGTAAATCCATCGAGCTTCTGATTTGCACCGTCTTGCTTTTCTCAAATAGTTTCACGAGAAGAATCATCACAATGACATGCCCCAGCTTTGTTTTTAATGTGTCAAGGGTTGTAATCCGCATCCACAGTGGCCGACGCTGTTTGAAATACGACGACAGAAGTATTAAAACATCTTCTTATGTACATTACATCACATTAAAAATATGTTAAATGCCTTAAAAAGAGTGAGTGGCACATGTTTGCTGGTCACTGAAGTTACGCCCCACTTCATAACCTCCATGACCGTGTCCTTTATTTTTGAAACAAAAGAAAAGGGAGGAAAAGCTGGGTGAACGGCTCTCGCTTACCGTGAGTGCAAACATACCGAAGAGGGTAGTATTCTTCAATGCACGATCACTTTTTCCGTCATTTGATTCGTTGCTAATGAACAGTCCATATAAGCCCATTCCAAATATGAGCATCACAGTTCCCACAAGGTACACGTCTAGTTTCCCGACAATCCACATGAACATTACACTCCGTAAGTTCTCAAAAATTTGCAAAACAAACATGATATTTGCCAAATACAGCCATGACTATTTAATAAAAACCCCGATCATTGAAAGCTGATGTTACGGCGAGGTACTTACCAACTGCTTCGACAAGTCGGAGGATTACATTTCCCGTGTGCAATCCATTCAAACACATCTCAAAGTATGAAATGAACGATTCACATATGAATCCACACCCCTACGTTACACAATGGATGGTTAAACTCAATATTCACATAAAAACTCTCAAGGTCTGGAGATTTTCAATGTGCACAAGTGATGATTCATAACCTGATAGTCCATTTCAATTAATTCTAGTGGTAGACATGCTCATTAAGAAAGAGAAGGGTTTAGATAGTGACCTTGACGAAGCAAAGTAAGGACCCTACTAACGAGCCAACGATCGCAGTCAGGGTAAGGAACCGGAAATCAAAAATAGCCTGCACAATATAGATTAGGCATCGCATCAGAAGTAAACCGAAGGTTCTTAGAGATCGCCTCAATTACACAAGTCTCTCTAGGGATGATTTGGCCATACCTTTTCGATCCTACTCTCAACAGTCTGAATCCATTGTTCCTTGCCCAAAGGAGCCTTTGCAACTTTCAATAGAAGATCAGAAATACTCTCAAATTCGTGCAAGTGAGCCGCATGGTTTCCATTAGAAACTGCAGAATTCGTCAACCGCGGAGTAGAGCTAGCAGTCAGGGAGCCACTATCGCCTGAGTCTTCGAAGCCATGATTTTCAGAAGTAACTGCGCAGCAGCGGAACACGTTGCTATGGTTCACCAGATTCCGGGTAACCGGTTGTGAGGAGCTGGAGCTGCACTGCATCCGAGGGAGCAAATAATTGCCTCGAGTGCTAGATAGAAAATGTGTGTGTGCGTGAAGAAACATTATCTCAGTGTTCCGACAGCAACGTTTCAAACTACCAACTCCTCCCAAGACTCTCACCAACACTGACTCAGTGGCATCAGTTTCCCGATCTCATGTGCAATCTCCAGGTTCAGAAACACAAAATAAAACAAAATTCAGTGATGCGTTTGCAATCTCAATTTCATATTACACTGCAGTAAACCTCCTCAATCAATCCGCAAACAGCCAACACTGGCAGCCATACAGACTTGTCACAAAGCCCTGGCAATTCTACCCACTCGCTGCAATCCATCAATCAATCAAGCAAGAAATTCGAAGAAAAGAATTGCTGGATTCCTCTGAGTGTGGCAATCTAACGGCAACTGAGTTTTCTATCAAAGGGAGAGACAATTTCAAGGGACCAAAGGATCGATTTCTGACGTGAATGCGAGGAATTGCACGCAAAGTACTGGTTCAAAAAGTGACGAAATCGACTTCACAAGAAAAGTAGGATACTACATTCATGTTCACTCACGAATTATCCATAGCCACAGTACACCTGCGACACAGTGCATGAATCGTCCAAATACAGAGGCAACGTCAAGGAATGGGCGCGTTCTTCTGTAGCGATGGGCTTTATCTGATTCGATGAATAAGTCCGAGGGGTACGATTTGAAAATGCCTTCGAGGTGACAACTGCCCCAGTGATATCTCCATCCATGTCCTTTTTGACATCCCCATCCACGTCCTTTATGACATCCCCAATCATCACCGAGGTGCACATGAGAATCAATCTTTTCATTGCCAATGGTTATTTTAAACATGGTCGGGTTAAATATTTGTAATATATTTTTATTCATATATAGTAATTATTATTTTACTTTTTTGAAGTTAAATAGATACTTTCCTTTTAAAAAAATACTTCATATTTTGTTTATAAAAATGATGAAACAAAATTTTGATACAATCTAATTGTATTTGTTTTAATTATACTTGTAAATCTTTAAATTAATCATTACACATAAGTTAATTTTTTTTAGCATTCTCTTTCAATAATCTTCAAAATAAAAATTAATGTACCAAATAATTAATATGCGTGATAAAATTATAATATTTTAAAATATTGAGTTTTTACTAACTATTTTTTTAGTATGTATAAGCCATAATTAAAATTTTGATTATAATTTATATCTTTATTTTTTTTTAAAGAAATTTTAAATGATATGTTTATACTATCTTTAAATTTTTTTTTTATGATTGCAAATATATAAATCTTTCCTTATAATCAATGATATTGCTATTAATTTACATGAGAGCACAAAAAAAAACTAAACTGTCAAATGTTGAAATTTTGGTAGAAAATTAAAAAAACCAGTGATAGAATAACAACATATAAAGCACATGAGGAAAAATGAGGAAAGAGCATTAATTGTAGAAAATATAAACTGCAGGCATTGATGGCAAGTCAAAAATTGAGAAGCTCTTTCTAAAATTACATTTAAAGTTCTTTTTATTTGCTAGTAGTAAAATACAATTTGAATGAGATAAAAGTTTACAAAGCCTAGGATTTGATTCTATTGAAGAAAATTATTTGCACCCATGCAATTGAACATAAAAAAATGTTATTGATTTAAAAGCCACTTATGTTTATTGTTTCTTAATTGAGGCAATAATGCAATATAATTTAAATAATATAATTTATATTTCTGTTGTAAAAATATTTTTTCTTGAATTTTTTTCTTTCTTATATATATATATATATATATATATATATATATGTAGAATTTAAATTTATTTATTTTTCTACACTCATGTCTTTATTACCTTCTTAAATTATTTTTTTATTTTTATTTTTATTATTTTTTTTTGATGAGGTTATTTAGTACATAATTTTTATAAAATTAAAAAATTGATACTTCTAAAAAAACATCAAATATATTAAAAAAAGATACATAATTCTTTTTATTTGAATATAAAAATATAAAAATAAATAATTAAGAGGTTTATAATTATAATCCATTTTGACACAAAAGAAATAATGCGTCTTTGAAAATAAAGTATTGGATGACTTTCATAATAAAAATTTAATATGAAAAAGGCTAATAGAGTATAGAAAAATTAGTTAGAAATTTATAAGAAAAAATTAACTTAACATCTAAGATATAAGGTACACTTACTCAAAAGATGGCATAAATCTTAGATGAAAAAGTACATGATTAGTTCTAAAACATGTAAGGAAATTAAATGGAACTTTAGAATGTTACAAAATAATTTAAAAATATACAAAAAAAATGGTTTCATAATATGCACAAGTGATACAAAGTAGAAGAAATACTTACTTCTTTTAATATTCTATTAGGTCTTTGGTGTCTTTTATAATATATCTTCTTTATTGAAATAATAGATGAATTTTATTTTGTGTTAAAAAAAATCTTAAAAAAAATTAAAAATTAAAAATTAAATACATAAGATTAATAAAATCAATAATAGTGATATTAAAACATTATAAAAAAATAAAAAATTAATAAAATTAAAATCTAATTACACACATACACATATAAACACACACACACACACACATATAAACACACACACACACACACACACACACAGATATATATCTATATATATAATTTATCAAATTCTAAAGATAGATACTTAAAAAGTATAAAATATAATTATAATATTATCTATAAAAATATTTAAGTAAAGTTTTTAGAATTGATATGCTATTAAATTATAAATTATATTTATCTTTGTGACAACTATTAAAAAATAAAATCTTAAAGCTTAAATCAAATTTGATACATTACACAAATTAAAAACTTATAGAATAATTTATTAATACTACTAAAATTAGAAATAAAAAAATTGAAAGATAGAAGAAGGAGAAAAAGTGTAAGTTAAGTCAAAATTCAAAAATAAGTGGGCCAAAAATTGGATATGCCCATATAATCTAAAATCTAAAATTCTAAATCTAAATCCTATTTTTTAGACTTTAAACCATTAGAATATGTTATGTAATATTAAAAAAGCTAATAAACAAAATCCATTAAATAAATTTATAAATATCTTTTATTTGTATAAAAGGTGAAATGACTTTTGCTTAATAAGCAATAGAGTGGAGTAGAAAGTGTATGGAGCATCAACTTCAATAAGCAAGAGAATAGATAAGTGTTCAAATACATCAACAAACTTCAATATAAAAATACCAATTAGTCTATAATAGTTGGATACAAGATGATCCAAATAATTGTCAATTCATCTTTAATTTTTTTTTTTACAATGGAGATTGGTTTATTTACAATATAGTAATAGATAAGAATATAGATGAAATAATATTATAAAAGACTAATAGTGGTAGATATTAGAAGAATGAAATCTTATCTTTTAAAATCAAGTTTAAATATGTTGTCTTTGTAACTAGGTTTAGATAGTAACCATGCTTAGATAATAACCATGTTTAGATATCTAAAAATCTTTATTTTTAAAATATTTTTAAAGATGTCTTATTTTTTTTATAAAGAATATATTTTAGGTTGCTTAAGCTAATCTTTCAATTTATTCTTTAATATAAGGTTACATTTTCTATATTTCAAGTCATTTATACATTATATTGTTTCAAAACTATGGAAAATATGGTTATTTAAAACTATTGAAGAAAGAGAAGTTAGAAGCCACAACACTTAATATGAGCAAGGTTGCACACAAAGTGAAGTGCGGAATAAGATGACTCTCATTTCTAAGACTCCTACTTATAATTAGAATTTACATCAATTGCAGATGAATTTTATTTACAATCATTTTCATCCTTCTTTCCTACATCCAATTAAATCCTAGATTCTTCTTAACCTAGCCACCACCATAGTAACATCTTTTAATCTTTTTTTTATCTTTTCACTATTAGCAACTTATTATGGTTTAAGTCTATATGGTGGCAATTATACAAGATCTTGCTGATGTTCAATACTCCCACTTTGTTAATTGTCAAAAGCTTTCAAGCCTAATGCCTCTATCAACTTGTGGTATCTATTCTTTAATAATATTTTTGTAAGCATATCAAGAAACATGTTTTTTGTAGCACAATACTTCATACTAATTACTCCATTTTCAATTTTTTCTTGTATGAAATGATGTTGAACATCAATGTATTTGGTTCTTAAATAATGCTTTAGATTCTTGGCAAATGCAAGATATCCTTGATTGTCACATATTATTGGAATTGCTTCCAATTGCACTAGTGCAATGTCTTCTAAAAATTATCTTATCTAATATGCTTCCATTATATAATGACTTACTGTAGAATAGATATTAATTTGTTTTTGAAAGATATTAGTAAAATATATTAATAGTCCATATATGTCATGGACATAGAAATACAGACTCGAGATCTAATAAGAAGTTCAAGAAGAACTGGCAAGAACTAGATTAATCAGATGAGAACAACACTAGAGAGGTGAGCTAGAGCTCCAAGAGATGTGTTGTCGAGACTGAAGAACTCTTCATCCTCGATTCCAATATATACTCCCATTTAGGAAGCTTCTCAAGTAACTTCTACCAACTAGGAAGCTTCTAGAAGGTTCCAGAGACTTGCTTCTAGAAGGTTCTAGAAACTTATTTCTAGAAGGTTCTAAGGACTATGTCTCTAACATCTTCTACTAACTAAGAAGCTTCTAGAAGGTTCTAGAGACTTGCTTCTAAAAGGTTCTAGAGACTTGCTTCTAGAAGGTTCTAGAAACTTGTCTCTAGAAGGTTCTAAAGATTATGTCCCTAACATCACCCCCTCCTTTAGCTTCGAGGTCTCTGAGAAGCAATGTTGTTGTTAATCAGTACCAATGTAAGAAAATGAAGATCTGTCGCATAATGTCTGCTATGAACTCCAACTGTTGTTCACGAGGCAAGTGGTTCATCGGTCCTTGAAGCTAATGGTAGTGGCCCACTCCTTCAACTTCTGACCAAGCATGAACTTCTGTGTCCTTATTGTGAAATTGTCCTGCAAACATGTCTTCTGGCTGACCATCGTAAGCAGGCTCGGACTCAAATACAATCACCAATGATCAGTTACTCGGTATCCTCTATCGTTGTTGTGGTTCTTCATCTCGAGGTCGCCTTCCTGAGCTAGTCGGTTGAGATAATCTGACTGGCATAGTATCTATCTCTTGGCTATCCATATCAGAAGACCAAACTATGGCTACTGAAAAAATTCTATTTTATCTTGGAGAAAATAACTACATCAACTACAAATTTTGGTGGTGCTCTCCGTTTTTTTTATATTCTTGGGTGAGCAAGCTTCAGAAGGAAGCTATCGTTGAACCGGCTTAGGTTTATGAGGATGTTGTTGATGAAACTCATGTACTTTTTATGGCGCATTGGCGAGATTTTCAGCTAGCTCCCACGTTTACTCATTAATATCGTAGCCGCACCAATGAACAAGATACTCGAACTTGCCCCACCTTCGCCGTGAATCCAACATCTTTTCAACCTCGTATTCCTCGTGGTTCTCGATCTCAATACTAGGTGGCAGACATTGAACTCTTCCAGGAAAAGATGACTCTCGATAAGGCTCCAATAGAGAAACATGAAAGACTGGATG